ACGACCTTGACAAAAATGAAGAGACAGATGGAAATTGTTGAGAAGATGAGCTGAAATAAGGTCGACTTAGTCCAAATCAAAAAATCACAGCGCCAATTTGAAAGAAAAAACTCCTTTTCATCAACAATTTCTTCCTCGCATAAACCTAGATTTTGATCTCCAGCGAACACCAGAATCGGAATGAAATTCGGCAGAGAAAACTTCACCAATATCACTGCACATCGATGGAAGAACGGATCTTAAACGCCATAGCTCTGATACCATGTTAGATTCAAAGATCGAAGGAAAAAATGAAAGACACCCAATTAGGGTTCTAAGAGACGAAGAGAGAAATATCTGATTTCCTATTATTCAATCCATGTAACAAAATGAATCTGTTTTCCTATATATTGTGTTCTCAGAAGTTGGGCCTATCTCTAGGACCCGGAAGCCCAAATACAAAAATACAAAAATTGAACCTGAGGCCCCAATATAAATACAGCACACATACTAACTAATACCAAATTGTAAGCTATTTTCTAAGTTATGAATCCCAACAATATTTGTGAGATTCCGTTTTTGGAGGATTTTTATCTTTATTCAGTTATTTTTAGTAATTTGATCTATATGTGGTCCATTACTATTATTGTTAGCTTACCTAGTCGTAGAGATTAGGTGCCATCACGACGTCCTACGGAGAAAAATTGGGATCGTGACAATGTGAAGATATACGCCTTAGAACTAAAGATAAAAGAATGCACTAAGTTGGGAGGAAAAAACATTTCGTAGTTAATATAATTTTATTTAGTGATCAAAGACTAAGTTCCTTTTGTATACTTCTAGCAACCTATGTTTTAGGGATGAATAATTAACACAAAAAGTTTCTTCAAAAAAGATTTCTTGTGACAAAATATGACTTATAAGAAATTCATCACTGACAATCATATTTGTTACAGTGCTTCCCTTATAGTTTTATCCTGTAGATAGAGGTATATATCCACATTCTAAGAAATTCATCATTTCTTCTTCCTTCTAATTATAAATTTTTAAACGTAGATTGTATTTCACTCCAGTACTGACAGGGACAGAGCTAGCGCTTCGGACGCAGGTATGATCGCACTCGATAGTTTTGGTCTAAACTTTGTATTTGTCTTTAAAAATTCATAAGTGTACAAATTATTAATTTGGAACCAGTAACTTGGAAGGAATAAATTCTAAACATATTAGCTTTAAATCCTGGCTCCGCCTTTGAGTTCTGATGATAAAAATTGTAAGAGAAGTGAATTGTTTATGCCCATGTGTGTTCTTCCCTATTTTTTTAACCAAAATCGGCCCTACTTGAAAGAAGAAAAAGATAAAACAAAAGATTTTTGGTGATGACCCTAAGTAGAAATGACATCAGGTAGCCACTCTAAAGGGCTGTTATTTAGGAATTAATTAATGTGTTTTAAATTTCTATTTTTCATTTCAATTTTTAGGACAAAATATCCTTAATTGTCCTAAAGTTAAGATTTTTAGTTTAGAAATTTAGGACAAAATAAATAATGGCTAATATATAAATAGCATCCCTAGAATGGCTATATGTGCGCTAGGGGTGCTCAAATGAAACCCGATTGTGGTTTGGTTTGATTTGGTTTGGTATTAAGAAAAAAAACGACCATAATTGGTTTGGTTCGGTTTTAACTGGGAAAAAAAAGTCAAACCAAAACCAAACCAACCCGATAGTATATTTATACAATTTAAAAATTAATTTATACATATAAATATTTATTGTAATGTCATTTATGAATATTTCTTAAACATTTTCACAGTTTTATCTTTTAATGTATTATTTTCAATTTGGACTTAATATTCTTGAATGAAAAATAAATTTTATAGCCCATAAATATAGTAAATCAAACAAAGTTCAAATCAATACTAATGCTAACAAAAGATGTTCAATTCAACACTAGGAATGATGATAGTGTTGGATATCTGTTTTTTAATTTTACGTTGGTTTATAATGAAAATGAATAACTTGTTTTATCTTTTTCTTTAGTGCTTAGTTATGTAGTTAATAGTACTTATTAGCTATATTTATATTAGCATGGCCTATATACTATTTTTAGATTATGTTAATTTCTAGTATAGCTTCTTAATTAGCAATATTTGCTTTATGCAATTTTATTATCTTTGTTAGTGAATATTTTAGTATAATGCTATGACTTATCTCATATTATTATTATTTTCTTGGAAAATACATTATATAGTTATATCTTACTATGACTAAAGAAATATTTGGAGCACAAGTTACATATTTTGTGCGATGAAGACTTTGTCGGGAAAAAATCCGAAACGTCGAAAAAAATCGAAAAACCCGAGAAAAACCGAGATTGAAAAGTCTGACTTTGTTGATTTGATTTGGTTTATAGATTTAAAAATCCGATATCATTAATTTGGTTTGGTAGCTAAAAAATATTCAAACCAACTCGACCCGTGTACACATGTAATATGCACTTTCCCTTTTATAATGTAGGCGTGGAGTTTGAGAAAGAGCAAGCGTCACCGCAGCAAATTCTCACGTATCTCGTTTAATGATATTTCTCATTAAAGACTAAACAAATAAAGTATTGTAGAAAAAAAATCATCAAAGTTTTTTTTTTAATTATTGGTAATCGGAACACTCAACACCATTCATGAATTAAACCCCACATGTGTACTCTCTATGTCCATGAATCTCAAAAAGATATGCTTAATTACTTATAAAACAAAGTTTATCCTATTTTACCCGTTTACTTTTGACCTAGGTCTGATAAATTATTATTTTCCCCACATGAGTATTTTATTTTTCAACTAACCCCAAACGAAGTTTCCCTTTATGTATGAGTAATATATTCTAATCCATACTTTGATTTATGAACCAGCTCTTAATTAACTTATTTTTTGAGTAATATATTCTAATCCATACTTTGATTTATGAACCAGCTCTTAATTAACTTATTTTAACTTTTAAACTCATAAACTTCTTCATTCTTTTGCTTTTATTAACTGAGTTCTGTACGTATAGAGCAGGGGCGAAGCCACCTTTTACAAAGGATGATCAATTGACCACCCTTCACCGAAATATTACGAAAAATTACACTGCATATATAAGTAAAATATTGATTTTAGATATATAAAATATATATTGAACACCCTTTATCGGGAATTTTTTTTTAGTTCTTTAAAATCTGAACACTGTTGGAAACATTTCTGGCTTCGCTGTTGATAATTCTTTAGAGGGCAAAACTTGCTTGTCTAGCTTGACAAGAACAAAACATTAAACGTATATATGGAGTGCCCTCCTCAAGTCATAATATTAATTAATTTGCCATTTTCCTTCTTTACTTGCATTCTTTTTGTAATTATTTTGGTTTTGTTACTTCACGAATGGTATGAAGAGTAAATTATCATGATTCATGAAGTAATCGTCTCTAATCTTTGAACAGTCTGTGACGTACCGTTACTAGTTAAAGGAGAAAATTATATTTACTTCGTTAGGGTGAAAATAAAAACAAACGAAGATATAAAATATACATGTATGTATTCTTGTCACAATCTACGTCAACTTTATATCATGGACATTTATATAGGATAATCCTATTTGAATCTTGTCACAATCTTCGTCAACTTTCTTTTGTCAAAAGAATCTTTATTTTCTAATAATTTAAAGCTTCTTTTCTAATTAAAATAAAAATGAAATTGTCATTGAAAACCTAATATGCTTCGGCTGCCTCTAAGAATTATTGAAATATTTCACAGTTATTTCTGTCTAATATTGCATAATATATCCTAGTAGCCACTTCTTCTACACCAAAAATTTTTTTTTCACTTTTTGTTCTTTCAAAATATTAAAAATATAAAAGTCAACTTCTTTGATACACGCCCTATATGTGTCCAAATGACTTGATCTTCCTATTTTCCAGGTAATGTTAATCACTATGACGACAATCAGAATGAATTTGTTGCCAATTTGATTTAGAGTAATATATATATATATATATATATATATATATATATATATATATATATATATATATATATATATATATATATATAAATATGCATATTTCATTATTTTCTTGCCCATACATTGACGTAAACGAATTTTGTTTAATTTATATATAAAATGAATGAGAAAAATTAGTACTGTATAAAATTGATTGGATCAAGGACCAATCCATTCTTGGAGATAGTGACAATTAAATGGTTGACCCGACTTTGGTTTTTTAAATTCTTCTAGCTTGACCTTCTCCTCTCCTTTGTTTAAACCTTTGTACCGCTTTGCTAGTCGGAATATAATTCAAACTGTAAATATTACCAGTTAAAAATAAATTAGTCTTTTGATCATTACCGTACAATTGAAATGTCATCCTCTTTTATTAACTTTATAAGAACACAGAATTTTAAAAGTTATTAAATACCTCCCTCAGAAAGCCATAGAATTGAAAAAATATTAAAACTATGTGGTACACTCTATAAAAAGATGAGTGTGGGGGAAAGTGGTGGTCTAAAATGCACATAGGTTTACACTGATCCCTATTATCTAGTGCTAATTAATATTATTAAGCATGAGGTCTAGTGCTAACTGCTAATAAATATAATTGAGCATGAAGTGCTGCTACTTCCACAAGGAAAAACTATGGTCGCTATTTTCGGCTGTGAATATTTAAGACTTTGGAAATCTAATCTATTGAGGTACCATAAAAAAGTTAACCAAAATTATTCAATTCCATAAATAGTCAAGAATTAGTTGCTTGTAAATGTAGGAATAGGTTTTTACTTGGTTTGATTCAGTCTTAAAAAATGAAGTTATGGCAATACGTTGTTGAGCTAAAACTTTGATTTGAATGTAATCATTTTTCGCAGTTATTTACTGCTGTATATCACCAATCTTTATTTATTGTCTGCTATAGAAGAGCGAAATAAAGAAGATACAAGCATCAAAGAAGCACGGGTAAAACGACATTTTGTACCATCAACAGTTTAAAGGACCATAAAAATCCACATTAGTTCTTAAATAACATTAAATTTATCCCAGAAATCTTTTCTAAACAATAAAGTTGACACAGGTACATTCTTAACAAAATAATTTCTTCTACCTGAGTTAAGCATACTAACATTTTAACACTAACATAAGGGTAATCCTTGGGGAATTCTTTCCCAACTTTCCGTAACAGCTCTACATATAGACCTGGACCAACAAAATCATAGATTATATGAACAGGATCGCTAGAAGGTCGAAAATCCGTAAAGTATGAAGGTGCCAAAGCCAATCAGAATCCATCCACAGAACTAGACAACCGAGATTATTCCTATTCACTCCCTAAAAGACACACTAAGCATTGCCTCACTCTCTATTCTCATTGCTTCCCTCAATCTCCACCCCAAAATCTATGGAACGACGAAAACAAGGATCAGAAAATTTTGCCACTTCTAATAAAGTACTAACAAAATTCAATAGCCTTTTTGGTATATCATTCAAGTTGAGCTGTATCAAGAAGAAATGCCACCAACATCACCAATTCCGGAGTGGAGAGGCAAAAGAAATCTTGATTGCACTCCTTGCATAACTTTAAATGATAGCTTCGAATTGATATACTGCCAACAAAAAAAGAGAGACAGATATTAATGCTAGGAAACTTTTTCAAGTGAATAAGCTGGAGCGTATACTTTTAACCGCATCCAAATGGCGATTCCACAAAGCCTACACCTCTTCCAAACAGAAAGCGCGCACGCGCACGCGCACACACACACACACACTAATACAATAAAACCACTCCATACAAACTATCACAGCATGTTATGACAAAATTTCAACTGTTCCATGTATTAGAGAATATATGGTGTGTCAAATATAAAGAACAAATACCTTTGTAACATCTCGGTAGAAGGTGCTGATCTCCTCCTCGGTAAGGCCGCCCTCATCAGCATTTTCCTCCCAGCCGAGAGAACGCAAAAATGCAGCCTCTTCTTCTTCCGAACACAATATTGCATCAGACTTTGAAAAGCTCGTGTCGGTACTATTCTTCTCCTCATAAGAGTCATCAGTGCATGTATTTTCACCTGAAATCTCAGTTGATTTCTCAACCCTTGGGCTCTCATCAGATAATGTGGTATCTTGATCCTGAGGGATACCAGGCGCAGTCAAAACTTCTGAAACACCAGATTTATCTAAAGGTGGTGATACAGCACACCCTGCACCATTGACAGCTGAACTGCTTGCAATAGATTTCTTTCTCATAAGATTGAAGAAATCATTTCGACTCCGAGCTTGGGATGACAGCTTTTTTTCCACCATTAACCCAACAGGCTTGCGTTCAGAGGTAAAGGAAGCAGCATTATTTGCTAGACTCTGTGTGGAAGCAGATGCGGGAGCAGTAAGAAGGGTATTTGACCTTTTGCTGTGAGCATTTGGGCTCAAGCTACTGTTCACACCATAAGAAACGACATTCTCTCTTGTTGGCTTAAAGATGTTAAGCTTGGTTGAGAGACTGTGATTGACAGGAATAGATGATGAGACAGTTTGCTGCAGCTGCTCAACCTTGGCTCTTGGTTTGTCGGAAGGATTTGGCACCTGAAATTAAAGATTGCAGGAATCTATATTATCATGAAAGTAATTCAAGTATAGCACCATTGTTATCCCAAAAAAAAAAAAATCTACAGGGAGAAAAGCTAGCACTGAACAAAATTCAGAAATGATTCGATAAAGTCTATCTATTAAATGGAAGATCAGACCCTTTAAATGTGATTTTTGCAGTCTCCATTTTTTAATTTCTGCAGCTTCACTAAGTATCCCGTATTCTACCAAAACTCCATCAAACTTTATGCATTCTCTAAATTGGGCAACTATTACTTTCTGCCCTCTTTCACTAATAACGTCTTTCCATAATCTCCTATCTCTAACCTAGGCCACTTATCATTTTCCATCTAACTCCTTCGGAAAGGCATGCAATATGTCTCACCATAATAACAGTTGTGGCACGTGTCTATATAGGAGAGCATATCAGGGCGGTACAGATATAATTCTAAATAACACCAATAACAAAAACGAAATAATACAACACAAGCTGCTGTCATGAATCTTTGCTCTAAGTCCAGGGAAACTTCCAGGCTAGACAGTAACTTCGAGAAATTATTTTAAACTTATCCACCTATATAGAATTATAGATACGCCAAACAGAAAGCTCAGTAATGCTAGACAATTTCATATACATGAAAGGAGCAACACCGGATGAGTAGATAATATCATAGTACTATGAAGAGAAATAGAAAACTTCTTTCTGTCCAATTGCTAAAAGGCCGGCATAGAGAGGGTATTCAACTATCCAATTTGTCATTCCCCCTCAGCTAGCCACAGTTTTTATTATAAATAGTTTTGCTTTAAAATGGTAGCAATTTTTCAACAATTCATCCATCTGACTCTATAAGTGCTTCCTTCTTGGTTTTAGTCCTTTACCATGTCTTGTAATTCCGATTACATGCCACAGAAGTTGGAAAATAAATCACCTTGTATGCTTTTCACAAGTGGCCCCTTAAAGCATCACCTAGAAAATCAGGATTTTCCATTTCGAGGAAAGATAAAAGATCGGTATTGGTAGGAAAAAAAGTTTGTCCTCCCCAAGTTGGTAAATTTGTCACATCTACCTTACATGACCAAACTAGGTGACAAATTTAACCGAGACAGGAAGAACCTGCAACATGTACAAGCAATATGAACAAGGAGCACAGCTCATGAATAATACTACCTCCTGATTCATGAAGATCAGTCCGGATAATAGTTCGTAAGTTTACTATCATCCTTAAAGAAAAAATGCTTTGTCACAATAATGTAACTCAATCAAAATGCAAAAGATCATTCTTGATATTTTGTATTCCCGCACCCACCCCTTGAATCCTTGAATCCCACACAACTCTCTGAATCCAACGACTATTTTATACAATGTTTGATAACAAAAATATTTTTCTCAGAATTGACTCGTTATAAGAAATAAATTTAGGAGCAGAAAAGGTTTTGAAAAAATAGAATTGATATAGTTATATTTCGTGGGCTCATCACTGCGGTGAATTCAAGGACTCATTCACAATTCCACTTAACTAAAGAGACATTTTGCTAAAAGACGAACACCTTTTGCATCTTGCTTGGCTATGACCAGAATGTGCAAATCTGTTGTTAGAATGTATTTTCATAATCTCCAAAACCTCCCCCAAGCACACCAGTGGTCTGGAGAAAAGATAATCAATAAGGAACACGTATACACTGATGAGGAAAATATGCAGCACCACTAGCCTGGTTGTTGGTTGAACTCAGTCCAGTCTGTGAATTTCAGGGTTTAAAAGTACAAGACAGCTTCAAATTTCACGTTTATGACAGCGGGAGGGAGGTAAATAATTTATAATTAAGACATAGGTCCAAGGCAATTTATACTACAACAAAATAGCTTTTAACAATTGAGCGAAAAAGCATGGATTAGCAAGCATTGGTTACCAGATCAAGGATTAAAAACAAGAATCAGTTCAATTTAAGGATTAAATCATGCATCTGTATAATAACTTTTAACAGTTGAGCTCAAAAGGATGAAGACGCGAAGGATCCAAATCCACAAGCCACGGTTACCAGATAGAAAATCAAAACCAAGAGCCATTCACCAACTCCCCAAGTTGTGAAATAATGCACGAATTTTTAAAATAGTTAAGAAAATCTCACAATTTATTGTTTTGAGGAAATTTTTGAAAAATAGTTCATTAATAACTGAAATAAAGGTACGGATAATTTTCCAAGTTCCTAACATCTCAAAACAAACTTGATATAGTGTTTTTTCTTCCACTTAAATGTTATAGAAGAAAGACAAGAGTGAGATACTTTTTTTCTGTTCTCCTCATACTTGAGGAACTATTTCAAGCATCAACTAAGTTGAAAGACCAAAGTACACATTTTTAATCAGCAGAAGTATTGGCTAGAGAGGAAAAGATTGCAAGGTCAATAAAGATGGATGTGTGTGATAGTATATATCCAACTTCTGTCTTACTTTCTGACTGAAGGAGAAACTGAACAGGTAAACCAATAATTAGAAATAGTTATTTGAAGGGAATACTCTTAATTATCTGAAGGCAAAATGCAGTTCAAAGCAATCGCAAAATAACCAAAAGAAGGGGAGAAACCGAAACAGACGGGTTAAGACAGGCTTAACTCACAGCCGGTTACCCTTAATTTGTACACGTAATATTAGTTCCTAATACATTCGCTTGTTTCCTAATTTGAACTGAATTATGAGATTTGAATTGCAAATAATCCAGTTTTAGAAACGATGTCTGTGTAGTTCATGCATAGCACATGATATCATAAATGAAAAAGAAGTGTGATAAAGAAAAGACCAACTATGTTTCCCAGGAACATCATGCCATGTACTCTCTCTGATTGTCATGCATACATTGTCTATTCAATTCTTAATGGTATCTGACATTGAATAGTCCTTGGTAAGAATACACATAGACCACGTGACAACCTTCTCATTATGCTTAATAAATGCGCTTGTTAATCATCAGGCAAGACAGAAGAAACAACATGAATAGGTAACACAATCATCACCAGCGAAAAAGGTGCAAAGCTCAACTTAATAGAGTCTCATAAGCATTACTTGAGAACTCCCAAGGATTCCCAATTAAAACCTTTTGATAACGAGGTTAGTACCATACAAGGGCAACGCCATTCTGTCAATTAATTGTCCTTCATATGAAACTTCGAAATAGCCCCCAAGTATATAATTATTGGAAATAGGAAGTCCAGAAGATGCACACAAAAAAACAATTGGACACCTAAGCTATCTGAAAGATGATGGCTTCAGAAACCCTTACCGAGGCCTTACTTACCAACGGTTTCAATGGTATTAATTGCCTAGATTGCTTCATAGCTAGCTCTTCGAGTCGCTGATTTGCATGGGATAACTGTTATGGTAAACACTAAGTTATGAGCACAAGAAACTTCTAATGTAAGCCACACATATAAACGGAACACAAAACCAACCTGGGAAGTAGTCTGAGCACAAGGAGGACCCCTAGCGACTGTTTCAGCCATATTAAGACCCCTGCTAATAGCCTTGCTAGAAATTGGAGAAGAAAGTCCAGAAGAAGCACCTTGTTTCACGGAAGAAAGGCCAGGGTTATTGTTTCCAGCCACTACCGTAATATCTGCCAGAGAAGATGCCGACTTATTACCAGTAGTGCCTGATGAGCCTATCGGTAAACCCTGAGGCATGGTACCCAAACCAGGAGATCGGACTCTTCCAAAGCCAGGTGATGCTTGTCGTTCTTCGGTTACTAGGGGCTGGATGCCTCTGTCAATTGCATTATCCACACTATTAACTGAAGCGAGCGGGCCATTATCCACACTATTAACTGAAGCGAGCGGGCCATTTTTGTCAGTTGGGTCGATTTTACCAGCAATTCCCAAATTCTTAGGCCCTTTCTCACTAAATCTACCATAAATCATTGACTGTGAGCGTCTTAACCCTTCCTCCTCAAATATTTCCCAACGATGATTCCTCGAAGTATCAGGAAGGTCCCTTGACCTATGATTTCCTAAAGTTGATTTCTCGTGATACTTGTTAATGTCTTTATCCATGTTCCTATGACGAGGGCTTCTAAAACTACTGTAAGATCTCAAGTTAGGGCTACTACTATTAGAGTTCCATCGGGTATGTGATGAGATGGCTCGATCTGATGCAGCAGGATGCCTCAACTTGTTATTGCTCATATTAGTTGACAGTGATCTACTATTTGCAAGTTTTGATGGGGCAGGATCATCTATAAAGGGAATAGAACAAAGGAAATAGTTTTAACTGAAATGAAAGTGCATGTTGTCAGAAAAAGTATGAAAAAGTATTAGAGCATGAAAGTTACCTGAATGCAACGGGGATGATGCAGTGACAGAGCCCGTCACATGTCTACCACTCCTTAACCATTGCGGGGCTAATGTAGGCTCACTTCTTTCCATAACACTACTAATGAACATTAACCAAACAAGAATAAAAGGAAAAACAACTCTCTTTCCTTCAGAGCAACTCCTACTATCAACCTCCGGTGCCAACCTAAACCACTAACATGCCCCCAAGAAGGCCAGTTTCTCTCTTGAAAACGTTAGACCAAATGCCCAAGAGCTTAACCAAGTTGCATGAACCTCCGCTGTCCATTAGCCCCAAATTCTTACCAAATTCCCTTTAGAAACGAAACCATTTTCCTGTAAGCAATCACACTAAACTAAAGTGAAGCACCCCACTATCTAAAAAAAACCTCCTTAAGGGTGGGTAAGGTTAGCCAATCCGGCTCGAGGGCGAGAAGCCTTCGTTTCAAGTACCAATTTGCCCTGCCAAGTTTCTCAATGAATTGGCTTTAGAAACAAAAGTCCTTTGTCTATAGGGTCGATAAAAAATGTTCAGAACCCTATAATTCAAAAAGAGACCACCATTCTATTCACTTCAACTAGGGATTAATCATTCTGTACATTATATACAGCAAACTGCAAACAGCAATCACTTTATTCAACCACAACAACGCCTGCCTTCAATTAAGAACATAATATACTCCTCTTCACCTTATCAAAAACCATCAACAACAAGCCTCTTTAAATGCTTCCTTCTTCAACTAAAATAGACTATAAAAAACTCCTCATGCCATTCATAACACTTTGGTGGAATAGAGTGCTACTCACTAAAGGATATAGTCAAACCCTAGATTTCAAAATCAGCAAAAAAGACCAATATAGGACACCATTCACAAAAACATAGTCCACAACAAAACTCGGTCCTCCAACTACCCACAAATCAGAACAATAAGCTATCAAAGAACAGTTAATTACCCAAAAAATTTAAATGAAACCCCAATAAAGAATATAATAATCAAAATACCACCATTATAGAACCTAATTCAGTCCCTGCTATGCCTTTTTTCCTTGTTTATGTCAAATTGTATTGATGAATTCTCAGATAATTAAAGAATCCAAAATGAAAAAATTTATACTGACAGGAAATTGAAGAGTTGTAGAGAAAGAGAAACACTAGTCGGTTCTTCGATTGATGAGGCGTGTAGAGGAAGAAAAAGCCTATGTGTGTAACCGTATGAAATATTAGGAGATCAGAAATAGAGATATTAAAGGGAAGCAAATACTACTACTCCGTTTTCTGCGTCTAAGTTTGAAAGACTATAAAAAGTGTGGTTACCAAGCATTTCCCCTTTTTTCTTTTTAACCAAATATTTTTTTGGAGAAGTTTATTTTTTTTTTAAAAACATTTTCAGAAAACAAATTTACATATCAAAAAGTATTTGAATAATTTAATTCTTAATACATTTTCCGAAAAAACTTTTCTGGGTAATGCATACTACAGAAAAGATATAGATCTTAGTTTTGAACTTTGTGATTGAAAAACTTTATGCGTATTTTTCTAGATTATTATCCTAGTAAAATAGTTTACTCTGCTTGAATCTGAATTAATCTTATTAATAAATTGTATCAAATGAATTAAGAGCCCGTTTGGACATTAAAAAAATTCTCTTTTTTCCAAAAAAATTTCACCATATTTTAAAATTTTACAATTCTGATGTCAAACGCCCACTAAATGATTTAGATCCTTCTTTTCTTTTTCGGCACCTATGTATTTTTCCTTGCCGTTGAAAATTAGAGCTTTCTCTCCCAACTGTCCAAGAATCCAACTATGACTTTGTTGCTATTTGGTCTTTCTTGTTTCTTTTATTTGTTGTTATCATTGAAAAATTCTTGTTCAGAGGTCATTTATTATTTTCTTTTTTATTTGATAGAATTGACAGTAAATTAATGCACACGAAAAGATAATGTAAAAAGATAAATTTGGTCACATCCTAATTAACTTGAAAGTTGAAACGAACACGCCATGCAACTACCTAACTTTAAAGAAAGAAACAAAAGAAGATAAAAAGGGAGCTCACCTAGTCACTACCGTAACATTTATTTACATTTATTATTGTGGCATACTTAAATAAATTAAATGTCAAGATTGCTTCACTTAATTTCCAATGTAACGCTAATATCACAAACCACATGCTCTTTCTTAATTAACTAATTTGCTTTTATTGTTTATTTTTAGGGTGTACCTTTGAAATGATCCTTTATATACGTTGAACGCTAAGGGCTCATTTGGTATAAGAAATAAGAGATAATTAATTCTGAGATTAAATTTGAAATGAGTTTATCCCATATTTCGTTGAGATAAAATTGCGGTATAACTAATCCCGGGATTGTAGTATTTATTTATCCCTATGAGACAACAACAACAACAACAACAACAACAACAACATGCTAGTGTATTTTCAAAGTGGGGTCTGGGGAGGGTAGAATGTACGCAGCCTTACCCCTACCCTGGAAGGGCAGGGAGGCTGTTTCCGGAAAACCCTTGGCTAAAGAGAATTTATCCCTATGAGAGGGTGAAATAATTAATCCCGGTACAGTCAAACCTCTCTATAACAATCTCGTTTGTTTCGAATATTTTTGGATGTTATAACGAAGTGAGAACATATATTATAACATAACATGAGATTCGATTCCAAAAAAGCTTGGCTTTTATAATGAAGTGTTGTTATAAGGGATGATTTATAGAGAGGTCTGACTGTATAACTAATCCCGGAATAATTAATCACGAGTTAACTTGTTTCCAACCGAATGACCCATAATAGTAGTCCAAGTTCATATAAGTGGAGTTACTTTTGCTCTCTTCCAACATAAATATTTGGCCAAATACATATGTAGGCCCTCAAACTTGTTCCTTTTTTTCATTTAAATACCTATTGTTCCTATTGAACACTTAACTTGAACCTAAATGTGTCTATTAAACACACATTGCTGACATGACAAAGTGTATGTGTTGCACTAAGTATGAGCGCGTGAGGCTTTATTTTTTATCAAAAAAATTCCTTCTTTTTCTACCTCTCTGCCCCTGTCACGACCCCAGTTCACCCACCGTGAACATGTCGTGATGGCGCCTAGTCTCTACAACTAGGTAAGCCTAAAATGCGGAGAACAAATAACTTACGAAAAATAATAATTCAACTTTGAACAGTTAAAAGAAAATACGGTGTATAGATTCCACTTGGCATATACAATTCCATAACACGGAAGTCTATAATATCATCCCAAAACCCGAAAACTCACGGGAACACAAGCTAACAGAATGAGTACACTGCTCTAACTTCAGAATGTCTAAAACAACAGTAAGAAAGGAAGGATATCTGCTAAAGCTAGAATAAGATAGAGACTCCTTGGTCTGCGGACGCGGCAGATGTACCTCGAAGTCTCTGCTAGATCTCTCCGCCTCGAGGGTGATACGCCTGGGTGGAGGTACCTGGATCTGCACATGAAAAACATGCGCAGAAGGGGCATGAGTACACCACAGCGGTACTCAGTAAGTGTCAAGCCTAACCTCGGTTGGGTAGTGACGAGAAAGGTCAGGGCCCTACTGAGAATAAACATAATAATAAGTCTTGCAACAATATGAAATAAACAGAAATAATGAGTACAACTATGAAGTAAGACAGGTTATACGAGGCAACAAATAGCACACAGAGAATAAGGTAACATGGAGTAAAACAGCTCAATATCAATACCATCAACGAGGATCTCCCAGGATACCGTCCTGTAGTCCATTTCATCAACTGTCCGAGGAGCTTCCGGGATACCGTCCTGTAGTCCATCATATGAGTGTATCCGAAGGATCTCCCGGGATACCGTCCTGTAGTCCAACTATCAATTTACAGGGGGGTCTATCGGGAATCTAACCCGTAGTCCCAAAGTAAATATGCAGGGGGATCTATCGGGAATCGAACCCGCAGTCCCAAAGTAAACATACAAGGGGGGGAGCTACCGGAATCCCACATCCGTAGTCCCAATGTAAATACGCAGTCACAACAAGAAGATATTCAGAAATGAAGTTCAAAAATACAAGGCAAACAGGTAGTTCTAGTCTAACAGGCTTCACGTAGTACAAACAAAGAAACTTAAGCCAATAGGCAATTTAGATCAACTAAACATGCTTTTCTAAACTAACACATGCTATAATTGCAAATGGAATAAAGCAGGTAAGAAAGAAACTCAGTCTAAATATTTAAGTAAAATCGAATTTTCAACAATTAGCTCAAGTACGCGCTCGTCACCTCACGTACAAGGCATTCAGTTACCATTTATCACATCCTAAGGGGAAGGTCCCCCACACAAGGTTAGACAAGCCACTTACCTCGAACCGGCTCCAAAATCAACTCGAAACCACACGTTTGCCACGAGTATCCGACTCCGATTGGCCCAAATATATTAAATTCAAGTACATATCGTAAATAACATCTCAAGCAACTGATTCTACGATTTAATTCAAAGCTAAAACGCGAAATTAGGTAAAATAAGCAAAACGCCCCTCAGGACAACGTCTCGGAATCGGATGAAATTAACATTTTCAGAACCCTCGTACTCTCACGAGTCCACCCATATATAAATCTCTCAAATCGGAGTTCAAACACCCACTCAAAACTCAAAAATTTGGCCTATGAAGTTTTATAAATTTTTCATCAAAAATCCGAAATTAAAAGGGGAATTCATGATTAGATTAGTGGGTTATGAGCATAAAGGGGTTTAGAATCGTTATCCAATTGTTGCCCTTGAAAAACTCTCAAAATCTCCCTCAAATCCGAGCTCTCAAGCTTGAGTTTTGGTAAAAATGGCAAACCCTCGGATTTTGAAATGTTTATATCTGCCCAGTTATTTAATGAATCGCGAACCCGGAGGAAGCGCGTTCGCGAAGAAGGAAAAATGAAGGCTGCTAAATTGCTCTTCGCGAACGCGAGGAACAATACGCAAACGCGAAGGCTTGGACTGGCAAAGCTACGCGAACGCGAGACATGGCGTGCGAACGCGATGAAGAGAAATAGGCACAGCCATCAGCGTTAAATAACACTACGCGAACGCGAGGGCTGGCTGCGAACGCGAAGGAGGAAATGACAGGGCTTCGCGAACGCGGGGGATTGAACTCGAACGCGAAGAAGAAACTGGTCCTCCTCCAAGATTACACAACGCGATCGCAAGAAAGGGGTTGCGATCGCGAAGAAGAAAAAGTCTGCAACTGCTGGACTCAGATTTCTGCAATTTAAAACAACTCCAAAATGCCCCGTTGAGCATCCGAAACACACCCGAGGCCCCCGAGACCTCAACCAAACCTACGGACATATCTCATAACATCATTCAAACTTGCTTCAATCCTTAAACTACCTAAAAAACGTCGGAAACTCGAATTAATCAAGGGTTTAAGCCTAAGAACTTCAAATTCTCTCAAAATACGCTTTCGATCAAAAACCTAACCAAAACACGTCCGAATGACCTGAAATTTTGCACACACATCCCAAATGACATGACGGAGCTACTACAACTTCCAGAATTCCATTCCGACCCTCGGATCAAAATCTCACTCTCGGACCGGAAACTTCAAAATTCCAACTTTCGACATTTCAAGCCTAAATTAGCTACGGACCTCCAAAATACATTCCGAACACGCTCCCAACCCCGAAATTACCTAACGAAGCTAACGGAACCATCGGATTTCCGTTCCGAGTCTGTCTTCACACTGTTATGACTATGGTCAGTTTTCCAACACTTAAGTTCTCATTTAGGGACTAAGTGTCCCAAAACTCTCCGAAACTCAAAACCGAACCACCCGGCAAATCAAAATAGCAGAAATAGACTTGGGGAAAGCAGTTAATAGGGGATCGAGGCGTGAATTCGAAAAACGACTGGCCGGTCGTTACATCCTCCCACACTTAAACATTCGTTCGTCCTCGAACGAGCATAGAGAACATACCCAAAGTAGTGAAAAGATGAGGGTACTGGATGCGCATATCCTGCTCGGTCTCCCAAGTCGCCTTCTCGACCGGCTGACCCCGCCACTGAACCTTCACGGACGCAATGTTCTTTGACCTCAGCTTCCTGACCTGCCTGTCCAATATAGCCACTGGCTCCTCAACATAGGATAGATCCTTCTCCAACTGGACTGAACTGAAATCCCACACGTGCGACGGATCACCGTGATACCTCCGGAGCATCGAAACATGAAATACCGAGTGAACCCCTGCCAGGCTGGGAGGTAAGGCAAGCTCATAGGCAACCTCCCCAACTCGCCTCAATATCTCAAAAGGGCCAA